AAAATATGCCTTTGGCCGAGGGCTGCCACTGCCTTTTATTTTTATTTTGTTTTTATTTTTTGTGTCTTTTCATTTTGGTTTCATTTCATTCTTTAATGAAATCATTTTGTTTTGCATTTTATTTTATTTTTATTTCGTKTTCATTCATTTAATTTGTAGTTTTATTTGGTTTTAATTTGATTTTGTTTTGATTATTAAAAAAATCATTATCAATCGATGAAAAAAGTGCCATGTTACATAGAATAACCAGTGGCAGCCCTCGATCACCATAGTTGTCTGTTGTCTATCAAAAAGGTTGGATTCAAACCATTTCAAGGCATCAGCAGATGTTCCTAGATTGCAGAGCTTATTGAGAAGCATTGAATGACTAATACTATCAAATGCTTTGCTCAAGTCAATTAGTACCATGAGTGTCACCTTTTTGTTATCCATCGCTCTGAAGATGTTGTCTGACACAAAAAGTCCTAGGGTCTCAGTGGAGTGTAACTWCCTSTTGCYACTCTGATGGGACGTCAATCTCTTGCGACTGATCAAGTAATCAAGAAACTGGTTGAGCCCTATCCTCTCTAGAACCTTCGAGAGGGCTGGGAGCAATGATATTGGTCGGTTGTTATTGGGCACTTCATGATCTCCGTCTTTCAAGTGTGGTACAATCTCAGACTTCTTCCACGCTYTAGGAAAGGTGCTAGTTTCAAACGAGTTGYTGATAAGTTGCGTGAGAAGTGGTAAAATATGTGGTAAACAATCCTTAATAACTMTTATAGGAACTTTGTCATGGCCTGGGGCCTTGTTAGATGGCATCTTTAAAATCAACTTGCTAACTTCATACGGCCTAACTGGTCGGAAATGGAACTKCTCCTCCTCCGATATTTCTAGTGTGTTAGGATTAATACAATAGGGAGCTCGTAAGTCCAAATTATGTGCCTTGGCAAGATCTTCAGAAGCGCYYGCAGCCTTCTCACCAACAGATACAAAGAAATGATTAAAYTCATCTGCTAGAAGATTGGTATTTTTGGTATAACARACTTCCCGGCCYGCTTTGCGTGGGAGAGCTGAGCGAATTATCTTCCAAATGGAGGAGGAGTTGTTAGTGTTCTCCTTTATTTGTTGCTTGTAATATTCTGTCTCAGCATTATGAATGGAAAGTTTCACTCCATGTCTGCAATCCTTAAACGCCCTCCAGGCCTCCGGGCAGTTTGTAATCTTTGCCTGTCTATGAAGRTTTTCAYGCCTGCGAATTGCTTCTCTGATGTCAGAAGTGAAGAAGGGTTTAGATTTGTGCCTTAACTTAACTGTCTTGATAGGAGCATGGGTCTCCAAGCACGACAGAAAGAGATCGTTAAATCCTTCGAGCTTTGTGTCTAATGATTGCAACAAATCCACAGTGTCCCAAGGGACAATTGATAGATCACAGGAAAACTCCTCAGCATTTTACTTTTTAAAACTGCGAGTAGTGATGGAGGTTATTCGCAGTTTAAGTATTGGCCGTCCTCTTTGGTTTTTATGGTAGCAGATTTTGTGTGTATAGTAAACAGTAACGGCATAAAGGAGTCAATAATATAATAACGCTTGAACTAAAAAACAATCTGGAAATTGACAAAAACACAAAATGAAATTAACAAGTCGGTGTTTATACGATTTGGTGAACCGTTTTAGCAGGCCTTGTTTTTAACCTCCTATCCCAACCCCCTCCCCAAAAGCCTCTGCAGGCTATACCAAATAACATTTAATTTGATTATGGTTTAGTTGAATTTGCTAATTTTTGGTCTTCACACTTTTAATCCTTCCCAGATTTGACTTACAACTATACTAAGAAAATGCTGAATCGCTAAGAGGTTAAGCAATTGATGCAAGCTCTACCAAATATGACAGGTAATGAGCTGAAGGATGTTCTAGAAAATTTCCAGCCGATGATTGGAAATATGGAAGTTGTTGATACAAAAACACTAATTGGGCGGAAACATGACACAGTAGCACAATCAATGTTGCCATCAGATTTTCATGATTTTGTTCCACTTCGTAGCACTGGAAATGGCAATTGCCTTTTCAATAGTACATCAATTCTACTAAGTAACGACGAAGAACAGGCCGATCTACTTCGTGTTCTGGTCACCTGCGAGTTAATTGTGTACTCAGACTTTTATGCACAACACCCTCAAATGTCTGAAATGACGAATTGCAACAGCTACTCAATTAAGAATATCATCCCAATTTTGCTAAGCGACGAAATGGCTACCAAGATATATGATGGCAACCTTAAAAATTACCCAAAAGCAATAACATATCTTGCTAGACACATCTCCAAACCATATGTTTTTGCTTCTCCTCTGATTTTAATGGCTCTGTCATCTGTAATACAAAGGCCCATTTCGTCCATTTATCCAAATTTCTCTTCATGTGTTCGAATAAAAAATGGAATTCATCGTGTCTTTTATCCAAGGCAGGTTTACACGTCAGGTAATGCATTAAATCGTCCTTCTGTCAGTATCATGTGGACTAATACATCTCTTTGCGTACAAAATCCATGGAAACCAAATCACTTTGTGCCATTAGTGAGAAAGGAGATGTTGTCTGTTGCAAAAAGCGCATCGCTTAAATCCTCGTCTTCAAACGTTTATTCCACATCTCAGAAGAAAAATCGAGCCTGTTCATCAAATCATACATCTGTGCGTCCAAGCTATGCAGATGTCACNTCTGGTCTGAGGTCTGTCAAGTCTAAACAACTTGTAGCCCTCTAAATGAACACTAGCGTTGGTAACCGAAGAATTAAACCAGGTTTCGGAAAATGAGAGAATATCATAGTCATTAACTCGTGCCAATTCTTGAATTTCGGTAAAATGGACCCTGTTTTTTAGCGACTCCGCATTTAGATGAGCAATTTTTATCCGTTTGTTTTGACCGACATGGTTTGTTAGCTTCAATTGTCGTCTGTTGAGCTGGCTTCTCTTTATGGTAATTAAATAAATCGGCGTATTGTGGTTGTTGTTGTTTAACCAATTTCCGTGTACCAGCATTTGACGATCTTGTGGATATGCGAGTCGGGATACATATTTGCTTATTCTCAGCATCTGTAGTAACGTTGTACGCGTTGTTTTGTTGCTCGGATCTCTTTGGTTCTCGTGGTATGGATGAGTGATCTTGGAAGCATTGAGCTGAGGTGTTAGAGTGAATATTTAATGTGGCACCAAGATTGTCAGCATTGAGACTGTAGTTGTTTTGAAGCTGGACGAACTGTCGTGTACAATTCATGTCAAAGGGAATAGCTTGCTGTTGTAATAAAGCATTCCGAAGCTTTTGACCGCTGCGACAGCCTCTTCGAGTTGGTTTGTGCTTGCAAACACCAAAATCGGTCAAGCGGCGCCAGAGTACAGAACTACAACGAGATGGATTGGATGATATTGCTTTCAGGAAAGACCTTGAGTAAGATTTTTCAGAAACCTTCGTTATGTTTTGGAAAAAAGGAAGCTCCGGAATGGCCAGAGGGGACCCCAGAAAGCCTCCAGAATGGTCCGATCCAATAATCCCGGACAGGAATGTTGAAAAAACAGTTTTTATAGAATGTTTTATTGTTATCAATATCATTATCTTAACTTAACTTAATGAATCTGCCAACAAGAGAGTCATTAAGAATACTAGAAAACTAATTAAACTCAGTAGTCTCAGTAGATGAGCACAAATCCAGTTTATGCCTTTAAAACTAAGCTCCAATCATAGTATCATTACGCTTATATTATATTATATCATAATTATTATTTTGGTCTCCTTGATCTGCATATAATCTTCAACACCTGAATATTACAAAGAATAAACCAACAAATTGTGCATTGATAGTGAATACTGTACAATTACTATGCAAGAATTACAAAACACCAAACTTATGATAGACCAAATATTTTTTGCGTATTTCAGCAAAATTACAGCAATATGCAGAAATTATGATCTTTTTCACTCATATTTCAAGTATATAAAATATATCAGAAATTGTTGGATCTCATCACCAATATTTTTTTCAGAAAGTACTAGTGTAAGGCAATTTGAAAAAAATATCTGCAATGATATCCCATAATTTCTGATATATTTAATATATACTTGAAATATGAGTGAAAAAGATCTAATTTCTGCATATATTTCTGAGTTATTATGTGGAAAATATTTAATTTGCAAATTTATGTACTGCACTTTGAGTTGGAGTTAGTTCCCTTTGGGCAAAACTAGTCAAGAATCATTTCTGCAAAAATGACCTCTTTTCATAATAAGTACAGAAATGAGTAAATGATACCAATTGGCCTTACATGCAAATTAAGTTATTGTTTCCTTCTATACTTAAAGCAGACTAAGGCGACTGACGGCAACTTAAGGCGACTTTCTGAGCCGGAGCAGGCCTTCCATGCGCTTTGTACATTTGCAACGAAGCCATTCCGGACAAGAAATCTCTGAAGCTTTTATATAGTTTTCTTGTAACCGTGCGGTAACCGTGCGTTATTAAACTCATTAATAATTCATAATGTCATTAGCCAATGATATACTGAGAATCTAATCACGTGATTATACCTTTATATTAATAATAATAATAATAATAATAATAATAATAAAACTTTATTTAAAGAAGGTTTAAAAAGTAATTAAAAATTACACCAGTTTAGTTAAAACTAATCTAGTTAAAACTAATCTTACACTGGGCCTTCTGAAGAGAACAAAGCAATAAGATAAAAGAATAATAATTGTTTATATCGTTCAGAAAAAATCCAGTCTTGACTTAACTTCTTTATTCGGTTCGGTTCGGTTCGGTTCGTTTCACAGATACTAGAAAGCATATTGCTTCTATATTGTTTACATTGTTGGGCTTCCTATGGTTACGTCATCGTTAACATCCCCCTCCCGGATGTATCTTACATCCGCAAAAACTAAAATGTTCTTGAAGTGTCTCTAGACGATATAATGTAATTACTAGGCTATAAGTTAAACTCAACAAGTCTTTGAATAATCATGTGTGTTCATCTTTAAACGTACTCCAATGGACACAATCGATGTACTGGGCGTAGGTACTCCTTTCCTCGTGCTCGCAGTCTTGCCACTCTTACTAGGCCATCAGCTCCAGGGAAGACCTCTAGAATACGGCCAAGTGGCCAATCGTTGCGACTAGCATTAGGCTCCACGATAAGTACTACATCACCTTTGCTTAGATTTCTCTGTGGGTGAAACCATTTTTTCCGTATATTAAGACTGGGTAGAAACTYTCTCCTCCAGCGTTTCCACACTTGTCCGATTAGCTGCTGCACACGATGCCATCTCTTTCGTGGGTTGAATATCTCCTCAGTATCAKCTGATTCTGCGGCAAATGATCCTCCCATTTGTCCCACGATGAAATGRTTGGGTGTAAGCGRAGTCAGATYGTCAGCATCCGCACTTACGTACGTTATTGGTCGAGAGTTCAATAACTGTTCCGCTCCACACATTGCTGTGTGAAGTTCTTCATCGGTTATATCAGCATCAGCGAGGATTCCCTTTATTGCCTTTTTTGCGCTTTTAATCATAGCTTCGAAGACTCYGCCRAAATGTGGGCTCAAAGGTGGGTTGAAGTTCCAATCGATATGCTGTCGTTGTGATGTCTCGTGCGCAATCCTGTCTTTGTCTAGGTTGTCGACCAAATCTCTCAGTTCACGTTCGGCAGCAACGAAGTTTGTACCATTGT